GCACATGATATATGATCTCTGCAGAAATGCCGAATCCATAGATAGATAGTTTGTGTCTGACAGACAACATAAGACACTTCGCATTGCGCATTTCTGCTTTTAACAATTTTGGTAGCTAGACTGATTTTCCTGCATCATTAACGCCATTTCGAAAGCTAAACAATTTCTCAAGAGGACACGATGTGCAATCTCACCATGATCTTGCTTTGCGACCTTTCTAATCGCTAAACACAAGAACGAGAAGATTCTTCTTCTAACAGACAGCAACCACTTCGAATACTCAGCTAAGATTGATTGAGTAACTCGGTGTCATTGATCGAGGAAAAACATCATTATTTTGTTGATCAGGATTTATATTTGAGTATCTCGTCCGTTCGGTTTAAGCAAATTTTATCCAAAATTTAAAAGTTATAAGAGTTGTTATCGTCATCGGACGGCATATGTTAAAATATTCCCCCTTGCAGTTCAGACAGTCCCAAAGTGGCATCTGTCTATACCATTCTTATTGACGACAGATTCTGTAAATGAGAAAGAGATATAAAATTAAATTGACGTTTTTTCCATGAACAGCGTCATATTCAAAAGAAAAACAAGGATTTACTTTTCCACATGCAGGTTGAAGATTTTATCGACACATCAAGTCTAACCCCAATGAGTTCGGTGCCAGTTCAGTTCTTGATTTATGTGTTACCTGAGCCAACATGTTCTGTGCCACCGGTCATTATTCCTCTCCAACGCTGTTTGGAAGTCACCACTGGCGTTCCAATGAGTTTTAATATATCCGCAATCAATTCCTGTGATCCTAGCATCGCTGATATTACCGACATGGTCGTATCAACCGGAATAGCTGGTATGCAAGTTAGTAATTTGACCGATTCATCAATGAATGCCTCGCTGGCCTATTTGACATTCACTTGGACGCCTCAGGTAAATCAAATTGGATCGCAGCAACTGTGCACTATTGCCTACACTGAGTAAGCCTTCTTACTTTAGTTTTATTATTTACAGAGTGACTTTTTTGATCAATTAGTGAAATAGTACAATCGGCACAGTATTGTGTCACATTTCACGTGACAATGTCATATGCGGTCTGCGTAACAACAACGACCAGTACAACTTCCACTTCAACATCTACCTCTACAACCACATCAGTGACCACAACTACAACAAAAACATCAACTAGCACCACAACATCAAGTACCAGCACCACTTCCTCAACCACAACATCGACTAGTACTACCACGTCTAGTACGTCGACGACCTCATCTACTTCGACAATGTCGACTACCACTTCTAGCTCAACAACAGTCATTATTCAATCGATCAACAGTTCATCTCTTGGTCTCGGACTGGGCCTAGGGCTTGGTCTTCCTCTACTTTTGCTGCTCAGCGCATTGATTGCGTGTTTATGCTGTCGATGGTGTTCAGAAACTTTCGGGTACGCACATAACTGAGATCTTTCTTGATAACATACACCAAAATCATTTTTTTATTAGGAAGATACTTCGTCGGAGATTTTGGGGTAAACAAGAAGTCTATTGTCAGATTTGCCGAAAGCGATGTGTTTATCACTCACATATGAATAGTGGCAAAATACCTGACGACACCTCAAATCTATATCGACATCAGTACATCAACGACAATCCATTAACACCATCGACGAGACAACCATTCCTTGGCGATTCGTTTCTCTCTAGTTCATTGTCACCTTTCGATATGAGTTGGATGACAGCAACGCGCACTACATTTTTGTCGTCGTTGTCGAACAGTGGTATGCCAAGCGAGGATGTTCTTATGCAAAGGACAGACCCTAAATCAATATCTTATCCAAGATGTGGTGGTTCGATTCTTGTGCGAGCATATGTCAAACAAGAACAAATGAACGACACTTTTCTTTCTTATGACTGACATTTGTGATGAGTTACCACGCGGACTCTATTTGGCATGCGATAAACGATGGAAAAAAATCATTTTAATGAAATCGCTCAAAACTATTTTAATGCACTCTCTTTACTGTTCTTCTCGTAAACACAACGAAACTTATCATGTGAGAGTTCGATCACTTTTTTGTTTGAAATGTAAATGTAAGAGGAACAATGCCTTCTTTCGTCTTTATACTGATGTAACTAACTTGCACAATGTCACACGGCGATGCATTTAGGTATAAAACGTCCAGATAAAAAGGGTTTAATGACGATAAAGTACTCACATAAGACCTCGATGATGCTGAAATGTGGAACCACCAAGATAGCCTAAAACCAATTTGTATCGCTCTGGTGATTTAATTGAAATGTCTTCTGTATTTTCCACTTCTTGGAACTCTTCTTCAATAGTCAGTATCCTTTCGTAATTCGGCTTTCTATCTCATCTCATTTTGCTTTGTTGCAACATGTTCGGTCTTTTTCAGATTTTAACAACAGTTAGTCATTGAGCTCAAGAATTGTCCTATTGATCTGTAAATGGAATTGTCTGTAACGGAAAGGTGTCTCATGAAGGAAAGGCAACGAATTGCTTGCTAGCTAAAATTCAGCCACGTATTTTATATGTGATCATTTCACAGAATCGAAAGAGCATTGCATTCTTTTTTTTTGAGGACACATTGAAGGTGTTTGATTTTATAACTTAATAAAGCCTGTGCAGTTAGTGAAGGTGATCAAAAACTGTCTCTTCCACGCAGGGTTCTCCATGGGTGCTAATAGTCCTAATATATTCTGGAAGTACTGTTGAAGTCACAAAAAAACAGGCTTTCTAGAAGTACTTTGGAAAACTAGGCCGTCCGTACAAGATTCCTATTGTATTGCTTTTTTTTCATGAGCTGATAGCTCAGATTGTCCTCTTCAAAATGGGAGTGAAGTAAGACCTTGATTTTTCTCGGTTCTGGTATCGGATTTCCTACGAGTACCAGGACTGGCACCTAGTGACTATTAGTAGCCTGAAGGACGGTTGGACTATGGCTAATCTATTATGCTGAGTCTCAACAAAACGGATTTTCGACAATTGTCGAAATTCCAAGGAAATAAGACAATAGTCGAAAAACAACCTGAAATTCGACAATATCGAAAATCAGATGGAGATGGACGCCATAGCCATATATTATTCAGTATATAAATGCTTGACGGCATACCTTTTAAAAAAACTGAGTTGTTGCAATATGAAGCGTGTTAAAGAAAAAGTGTATTTCGCCAGTCCAGCACTCCTGTCGCTCCGCGGAGTAAAGCACACTCCAGCGCACTCCGGCACTCCATACAACGGTCCGGAGTGGCGCAGTGTGTGTTTTTCTTTTAGAATAAAGTAGTGATATTTCTCTTAATGGGTTTCAGAATCTGCATTGGTTTTGGTTACAGAAGTGATTTTTTGCGGACTTTGAGCAAGTTTTCTAGGAGTCTCGAAAAACCGGGTCTTCACCTTATATGTGCTCTACAATCGAGACAGATCAGAAAAAATTTTTGGAACAAAAAGTTTCTGACTCTGGACACCTGGTTTCCCAGAAATCTGGTACTCACGAGGTCTAGCGGCCCGTTTCATGTCGATATTCGGATTCAGCACCATTTTTTACCAATACTCCACTAGATTTCATTAAAAAAACGATTGGTCAGTTACATATGTTCCCTCGTCAGTTTACAAAAGGTCGCATACCACGGGCCATAAAATTAACGGCAGAACGAGCACGACATTCCCTCACACCTTTTTATAAACTGAATGCTGTTTCATGAAAAAATGTCGCTCAGAGCTCGGCGACGCCTCCTTTTGTAGCGCGAAAACTTCTCTATCTTTCTATATAGAAAGCAATTCGGTTCTGAGCAGATGTATAGAAGAAAAAATCAAAAATAAATTAATTTATGTAAACAGATGCGCAAAAAATCTTGGTTTTCTGAAATCCCTACTCCCGGCACTTTTAAAATTATTTTGATTTAGCCATAGGACAGAGCATCGCTCAAAATCCTTAAGTACTGAAATTTATCAAAATTCGTTCGGTCCTTCATACTGTAAAAATTGAAAACTGACTCATGTTACAGACCTGTTAAGTAAAAAGATAGAGAGCGGCAACTTTGTTAATTCAGAAGCCTTTGATTTAGCTTTAATGTGAATAAAATTCCTTAAGCTACCTTACGGTACTCCGCCGAGTGCGCTCTTCTCCCCTTGATATTAATACTATTACCATTCGAACTGTGTATAACATAGCCCATTTTTCAATCACGATTCTCCACCAAATAACGAAGAATATGATTTTTGAAGAAAAATCCAAGAAATGTTTTACCTTGTGGACGTGGTGGACATTTCTGTCTTTTTTGATAACTAATATTCAATTTTTTCACTTTGGTTACATTTCATTTTCTCATAATTTGTTTGCATTAATAATAAATGTACTATGATTTTCTTCGTCGATTCATGACAGTTATAGGACAAACATTTAACTGATAAAGATGATTTATTAATTTTTAAACGATGAAAACACTTTGCAGCAGTTATACTATTATTTTCTAGCTAAAATAAAATCAGCAGGCATACTGGAGAAGACAACCACACAGCTCACTCGTCTTTGCAAACTAACCTTGAAACATTCTGCTTTGTAAACATTGTCAATGGCATTAAGTGTCTGCATACATCTATGAAATTTTAAGACATTTTGACATGTTGCAATATCAGTGCATTTCAGTCTCTACACAAAGAGTTTGATTACATTAGAAATTTAGCTATCAAAAATGGTTATCCACTAACCTTTGTAGAATCAATCATTAGAAGTAGACTGGATAAAATGTATGATGTACAAATTCTAAAAGGAAATGTCTCTGACACTCCTGCAACTGACAACATGGTCTTCAGAACTCCGTATTTTGATGCAAGCAGTCAGATCTATAGAAAAAGAATTGTAATGGCAGTAAACAAACTCAATCCTTAAAAAACTGTCAAAATTATCTATGATGTTATACCAAAACTGGAACAGGTTTCAGTCCAAAAGATCCTATACCTATTCTATTAAAATCAGTCAGGACTCATTTATGAAACTAAATGAAACTTACATCGAGAAAACGTGTCGTCATTTAAAAACACGTGTTGATGAACATTTGAAAGTTCAAGAGAAAATTATCTTATCTCAGACAAAACTCGTGCCAAAAAATATTTCGAAACAAGTAACAGTATCGAAAAGATCTGATACGACCATCTCTAGACAAGCACTCGTAACACGATCACAAACTATCAAAATTCAGAGAACTATTGTAAAGATTGATCAAGAAGATGTAGAAGATTCTTTTAGTACGCTGGCAAATGTCAATGAAACTAACACCGTTACAGAACCGCAGGAAAAATCAGCTATTGCGAAACGTGAAAATTCGAAAAAAACAAAGGTGGTCGGATAGGGTAAAAAAGTTTATCATTCGACTTTAGTTTATCATTTTATCATTTATCGTTCGAGTTTATCATTTTTTAGTCGTAACGTCTTTGGCGAATAGGCGTTCAGATATATAAAGGCTTTTATTCGATATTCTAGTTCACTTTTCAACGCTGAACAAGAATATCTGAGTTTGAATGTTCCAAGTTGTAACCAAACTTAGAAAACTCAAATTTAAAAAAGCGCGTGAAAAACCGGGATTTTGATCCCTTCATAGTATTTTACAATTTTCTCAGCGAGGAAACGGTTTTGAGAGGCGATACATACAGAGAGGCGGGAATACATATTCGTGATCAGCGCGCGATTCTCTATCGAATGGTGTGTAAAATATAGAAAACTAAATTCTGCTCGGTCTTTGCCTTACGTGCATCTTACGTCCTTGTATTCTAATCGGAATCTTTTCTTGCTAAAACATGATTATCAATATTATTATCAAACGGTCAAGAAATGCATTTATCAGCAATAATTATCACATTTTGTTTTCCATCAATGGACATATTTCATCGACGGTACGTACTAATACAAAGATAATATATACACAGATGAGAGCACATAGGATGAGAGAAGACAAAACGAAGAAAGGATTATGAAATAACAATTGATTAACTCACCAAAATGTGCATGTGTCAGTTCTTCTATTTTTTCATGGATTAGGTGTGCGAGAATGATTGTTGGTTGTTTAGTAAATGCCTAAAACATACCATAACTATAGGGTAAAGAGAGCACATCACATTTCTTTGAAAATAAAACTGGGTCATAATGCTATAACTGAACACTTATGTCATGACGATAAACTAGAGAGTTCATCTACGCATCAGCTAGATTAAAGGTGGTGTCATAACTAACCACGATGGGTATTATTGTTGTTTGTAATCATTTCTAGAAAATAACAAAATGTATATTGAATATTTTAATTGATTTTTCATGAGCTCATATTGCAATTAATTTTTATAAAACAAGATAAAATCGAATAAATTTTGGATGATTATGGCCAACATCATATAAAGAAAATCTAAAACGTGTAAAAATCATAATAAGCATTGAGAATATTAATTTAAATAATCACTGAATGAAAGAATAACTTATATATCATCATGACTATCGATTATAGCAATAAACGGTCTTAAAAGGTTGTTTACGGCTGCAGTGTTACGGAGCATAGGATTTCTGCCAAATTACGTCATATTACCACCATTTACAGCGTGTTACGTTACAGTACACCGTCGTAATTCGCTGTGTATCCCAATTGTAATCAGTGGCCGTTTTTTTGACCTGGGCAGATCTCCACCCATCTACAAACTGAAAAGCACAAGACCATAGTTATTCGTATTTTCATTTGATTAAAACAGATCAGTTACCTATCAATGTTTCTCCCACCTTACCCGGAAGAAACTAGTATTGAGAAAATACTGAATTCACAAATTATCAGCGAACTATCAAGGCGCTGGTAATTGGAAGTTTCACCAATTTTTAACATTACTTTCCTGTGCTGAGAAAATTCATTTTTTCTAAATCAGAGGCGGAGAAGTCGGAATTCTGCCCGTAATTCTCAATTTTCTCGATTAAAACTCTAGTTTTGAGAAATAAAAATATCACATTCGGAATGAGGATAAAGACTGAGTCGATTGATTCGTATTTCGAAATTTTTAATTGATTTTCAGTTTTGGGTGAAAATCTCTGTAATTTTTTCAACGTGGAAGTTCGAAAAAAATTAAAGGAGTCGGATAAGATCCACATACACATTAATCGACGCAGTCTTTTATCTTGATATGACGTTTTTATTGCTCAAAACTCGAGTTCTGACCAAGGAAATTGAGAACTACGAGCAGAATTCCAACTTCTTCGTCTCTGATTTAGAAAAAATGAATTTTCTCAGCACAGGAAAAAAACAAATATTAGTTTGTCGCGCGGGAAATGGCGATTCGAATGGCGTAAGAATGAGGACGCTATGGCTTGACCCCAAAAAACTAGATAGATTTGCAAAATTCGGTAGCGCCAACGGAGTAATCAGTCTTATGGACTTCAGAACGGATGTGTTTCATGCGATCAGGATCTAGAACACATGAGTAGCTCCATTTTCAAAACTGTAGTTTAAAAATGATCATTTTTAACCACATTGAAAAAAGAAAAAGTTCTTCGTCAACTGCTTGTGACTCTGAAGAGTTTTAAATATAACCACTTGATAGAGCTGTTTAAGAGCTACAAAATGGCCATCTTCTTATCTTTGTTTCGTACAACAAAAAGCAATGAAACTGAAAAAACTGACTTTTTGGTTGAGAAGTGGTCAAGGTTGCTGTACTTCATCTATATACTTTTATTTTTGCTGTATACAAAGAAATGTTCATGTATTTCTTCTCTATGTCAGAAAAACGTTTTCAAAGCGAATGTATGATACATAAAAGAAAGACAACACCTGGGAGCATAAGAACATACGTTTTGCTTACAACTCAATACTAGTGATGTTACAAACCCAAATCCAACCAAAGAATTGGTTTTGGGTTTGAGATACGCAAGTCTCTGACTTGGGTTTGGACTTGGGTATCTAACGAGGGAACATTTCCAAGTGTGAGTCTCAGTTTTAAATGGGATATGTACCAGTTTGTAGAGCTGACGAGCTGATTCTTCTGGTATGTTCCGTTTTTGCCCATAGTCCTCAAATGAGAAAAATCAGTCGATTTTAATAGTGAATTTCTTTCCTAGATAGTAGTAAGATATTTGTTAGGAAATCAAAAAATCAAGGTTATTTGAAGTTCAAATCGTCGTATTAACATAGACAACGACACGTGCAATATATCTGAGGGCACTTCAATCAAATGTGCTTCATGACTTATTACTGTTAGTACGTGATAGTGTAATGCTATATTAAACAAATAAGATAACGATAGTTCTTTTCATTGTATTGTTATGCACTCATGATACATATCCCT